CTACGCCGACAGTTCTCCAGCTGGAAGAGGTGAAGAAGGAAGTAGAGGCTGATGAAGTGTTGGGAAAATTAGTAACCAATCTGTGGGCGGGAATTCCAGTGAAGTTTGGGTATACGCTGATTCACGGCATCTTGTGTTACCATGGGAAGGTTGTACTGCCTTACAACTCGCATTTGACCACTCTCATGTCGCAGGAATGTCATGATTCGAAGGTAGGGGGGCACTCGGGGTTTCTCAAAACCTATAAGCGAATTGCTAGAGAAGTATATTGGCAAAGGATGAAAAAGGTGGTGAGGGATTATGTAGCGGCATGCACAATCTGTCAACAAAATAAGTATATGGCACTATCTCCAGGAGGGTTGCTGCAACCCTTACCGATTCCCGAGTTAGTTTGGGATAATGTGTCGATGGATTTCATAGAGGGCCTTCCTCGGTCGGGAGGCGTTGATACTATATTGGTGGTGGTGGACCGTTTGAGTAAATATGGGCATTTCACTGGCCTTAAGCATCCTTTCACTGCTCCTATGGTGGCTGAAGTTTTCATACGCGAGATAGTCCGCCTGCACGGCATGCCACGCTCCATTGTTTGTGACTGGGATAGAATTTTTATGAGTACCTTCTGGAAGGCGTTATTCAAGGCACAAGGAACTGCTCTTAAACACAGTACAGCGTACCATCCACAAACAGATGGACAAACGGAGGTTGTGAATCGGTATTTGGAAACCTATCTGAGGTGTTTTGTATCAGGCCGACCGCGATCTTGGAGCCAGTACTTACATTGGGCAGAATTCTGGTATAACACTTCCTTCCATACAGTAACCAAGCATACTCCATTTCAAATAGTGTATGGTCGGGAGCCTCCCCAGTTCCTCTCCTTGGAAAGGGGTATGACAGCCAGTTTCTCGGTCGAGCAGCTTCTTTTAGAGCGTGATGATATCTTAAAAGAACTAAAAGGTCAGCTTAATAGAGCACAGCAGAAGATGAAAGAGAATGCAGATGGGCACCGTCATGACATCCAATTTGCGGCAGGGGACTTGGTTTATCTCAAGCTACGGCCCTACCGCCAGAAATCTGTTGCAAAAAGATCATTTGAAAAGCTCTCTCCCAGGTATTATGGACCTTTTGAAGTGGAGCCAAGAATTGAACAGGTAGCTTATAAACTGAAACTGCCCCCCACGTCAGCCATTCACCCGGTCTTCCATATGTCTCTACTTCGAAAAGCAGTGGAAAATTTGCAACCTACCCTGTCACTTCCATCCCAGCTGACAAAGGGAGGGAAATTCATCGCAGAACCAAAGGCAATGCTCGGTGTTCGTGCGAACCTTGCCAACACTGGTGGGGAACCGGATATCCTAATTAAGTGGAAAGATTTGCCGGAGTTTGAGGCTACCTGGGAACCATTTGACACTATCAGACTGCAATTTCCAAGTTTCCACCTTGAGGACAAGGTGGATTTCGGAGCGGCGGGTAATGATAGACCTCCGGTCCGATTCACCTATACTAGAAGAAGGAAATGTACTAATCATGTGGGTTTGGCCAAGTCAGCTGAGTTGGTTGGGGGGGGGGGTAAAAATGAAATAGTCTGTGATAGGCATTGTGAATAAATATGGAGGGAAAGGGGGGCATTGATCATTCTGTTGTTCTGTTGGAATATTGGGGGAGAGACAGGGCCTCTCTAATAGCCCTGGATTGGCACTTTTGCTGTTCCTTTATCCAGTTTCATTAATAAAATCATTCATTTTATTGCAAAGTGAGTGTGTGATTTCAGTCTAAGTAGCTGGGAACTTATCAATATAAACAAACAAAGTTATTAAAATCGGACCGGATCCGAGTTCATTAATTGCATAAACAAGCAGATGAACCAAACAAGAACCGGATGAACCGCTCAAGAACCTGCCAGTTCAAATGGGTTTAAGTTACTCTTAACCCGGTTCAATGTGGTTAACCAATTATAATGTAAAAAATTTTCTCCAATTTGCATAAGTGACTCGAACCTTGGCATTCAAGTAGGAATTTTTTATCCTTAACCATTTTGGAAATGACCAATCTTTAGTCTTCTTTGTGAGACAAATTTATATATTCAGATTTAGAGAAATGGTAACCAAACTACAATGTAAGAGTTATACTCTATTTCCAATGGCAATGATTCAAAACTTGGCTTCCAAGGTTATATTTCACTTCCTTGACCATTTGGGAAACTTGTAAACTTTGGTCACATATTTCGAATCAAACATATACATTTAGATTTATCAAAATATTTTTCTTTTGGGTTCAAAAATATATTTTAATTAAAATTACGATCTAAAAATGGCCCACCAATTCAACCACCAAGTCACCGGTTGAACCACTAACTTGGTAACCCGATGATTTTTCTGGGTCGACTACAGGTTCAGGTTTAATAACTACGTAAATAAGGGTAGACTACGAATGCCTTTGGAAAAAATTGCTCTTTCAATAACATTATATAAGACTTTTCAATCCGTATGAAAAACAAAAATATCCTATATAAATGGGACTATGGGAGTATATAAGTAGAGTGAATAAATACACAATTAGTAAATCAAATTTCTAACACCCCAGCTATTCAGAAAGGTATTCATTAATGACTGTTCTATTCTGGTAATAAATTGATCACACACATTACCCTAATAAAAGCATCAATAACAAGTTATTAGGGGATCTTTAGGAACTTTACAGTAGCTCATTATTCCACGCAGATACTCAAGCTATCAACTTAACAGGATTTTGGTAATAATTAAGAATATATCTTCTTAATTAAGAATAAACCTTCAATTACAGTAACAGCTGTTGAAACTGAATGAGCCATACAATTTCAGCAACTATAGCTATTTTTTTCCATTGTATTTCCATGAAGATATAACACACTTTCTATTAAAAAGTTTCTACATCAACCATCAATTTATAACCTGCCTCTAGTTACAGAATCCTTTACAATAAAAAAAATAAAAGTAAAAATAAAAATAAAATAAACCCCACGTTTAATAACCTACCATTTATTAAAGATTGCCATTATTTTGACAAATATAGAAGAAAAATTGCAGTAATAAATCCACAAAATGAGTGACTCCTCAACTCCAAGTAGAACGTGTAATAAAATATTATGTTGTTGAGAATAAATCCAAAGCAAAACGACTATCTCAAAATCTAGAACCTTGAACTTGACAACAAGTATAGTTACACATTTGGATCAAAACTCTACGAAAAATATAATATCTTCATGTTTCCTTTCATACTGCTTTAAAACTTGCTGCCCATTCACACAATTATATATTTCACACTTTGAACTGTTTTGTAATTACAGCCCACGGGACAATAGTCTTATGCATATTAAAAAAATTAACAATACAACCAGGATTAAAATCTCCAATTTAAATCCAACCCTCAATCTAGAAGCTGATCAATCCCAGTAAGAAATTGACAGAATTTTCATTCAAATTAAAAATACCTAACGAAGCTGACGTGTACGCCGAGGCTCCTATGAACAGCGGAGCAATCAATACACAGGAAGATACCGTAAGTCACCGACGCCCAAGTCGGATTCTTCGCATTGCAATCGAAACACATCTGTAAACAAACCAAAAAAAAAAAATGGCAGATCCACATAAAAACAGGTGCAGATCGGAATCAGATCTCCGCATTTGCAATCAAAATTTCCAAAAAGATAAAATAAAATCAAAAGTAATTATTAAAAAAAAATGCAAACCTTGTTGTCGGACTTGGCTCTGAGCTTCCGAAAAACTGCGGTTTTATCGGTGTAATTTTCAGAAGCCATGGCTCTATTACTACAACTTTCAGCTTATGAAATTTATAAGAATATATATAAATATATATTTATATACGATTACCTATAGATAGATAGTGTGTATATATAGAGAGAGAGGGAGGCTCTGAGAGGAAGTTATGAGAAAGAGACCTCCCACGGAACGCAGAACGGAAATGAAAGAGGGAGCAGAATGAAGATTGAAGAGCGAGAAACATTTGGGAAACGGCTAATTTATTAGATAGCCTCAATGCCCCTGAACAATAGGGGCTTTTTGGGAAGTTGAGATTGCGTGGCATTATTGTCTTTCTGCTAACCAAACGGTGGTTGTGGAGAAAGTACACTCAATAAGTATGAAGAGGGCAGATTTGATAAAAGAAAATGAGGAGTGGAAAGAGAAAAACTCTCTCTCTCTATCTATGAATCAAGTGAAAGGACGTAAAATCAAAGGATTAAGAGTCAAGGGTTCGAATTGAAGTTCAACCGAGGGTAGAAATTAAAATAAAAAATAAATTTATATATTATATTAAAAAAATATTAATCAAAATATCCTTCTAAAATCATTATTTACCATTTATTACCTATGAAATTTAATATCAAGTGGAGAAATTAAATTGGCCAAAACAATTTTATAGTCCATGTATCCAAAGTTCAAACCCTAATATATAATAAGCATCTACATATACAAAAGTTCAAGATTCATTCATATTTTGCCGCCTCTCGATCTTCTGTCTCACACATAAAATCTATATACGTGTATATAACAACATAAATACTTGTATTTATATTTGTATTCGTGTAAGATTATTTTGGATTTGAATATTTGATTTTTAGTTAAAAATTTGTGCAAGTAATTCATCAAAAAAGATACAGGAGCTCCGGTGACCATTAGAGAACAGGAGCGACAATGAAGCGTTTTCTTCTTCTTCTTCTTCATTCTACATTAATTTTATTTTATTTTTAAAAGAAAATATTAACCGTGAAATCCGCTAAAATTGTGACCGACTAACCGATTTCATATGAATTTCTTTACATTCTGTTTTTATAATATAATTAACTTGAATTTCAACCAGGCTCTCAAGTTTTTCGATAATCGGCCTGTCTGTAACATTAACATTGTGTCCTGTTGGGTATATTAAAATTAATATTTTAGTAGAATTTGATAAAAGTTAAAATGTTTAGTTGAAAAGTTATAAATTTCATGAAATGTTTAGTTAAAATTAATTGTAGACTTTAATTCGAAATTTTAATTTGATTTTAATCCAACTATTGTATAAAATTGAAGGAGTAGATTGTTCAATAAAAATGAAGATGCTGACTGCTTCTACTTAAAATCGAGTTCGACAAGAGTTGTCAACTGTCCAAAAATGAATTGCTGATAACCCAGCATAGAACTGTCAATTAAGCCTCTGGAGAGGTTTTGTCATATTTAAAATCGCCGGTAGGCCTTCGAAATTGTGATAAAGCCATAAATTCTTGAAGATGTGCATGAAAAAAGTCTCTAAACGAAAGCCAGATATACCATGTCGTTCAATTGATGTTTGCTTCCAATTAAATAATCAACTTCTAAATAAGGTACGTACAATCAAATCTCCTTTACTAGGAAAGATATAATTGCAATAAAATCTCCTATATTAGGAGTGATATAATATGCACCAATTTTATTAAAATTGGCCCGTCCCAATTGATTCGATAGGTAAAACCAGGAGCCAGGCCTAAAATCAGATCAATTATATGCTAATAACCGGACATAACAAAATCGTTTAAAAAAATTGCTAAACCAGCCGGTTAAACACTAACCCATGAACCAGTTACGATTTTCCAATTTTTATTTGAAGTTTCTAAATTTAAAATCTTTCACTTCACTATTGGGCTATGTATTGAAGTGAAGGAGTATAGTTTAATTTGGATTGCCAGCATCTTTATAGAAGCTATTTCTTCAAAATGTTTTCACAACTTCTAATGTGGAATTCTTCTTCATGCCCAGATTACTTATATTCCATGTGCATGTTAATTTCTATCAATAATCGATGTGGGAGTCCTCTTCATTTGCCCATAGTATTTCATGTTACCAAAAATCATCATTCATTGATTCTCGAGCTTGCTGATTGAGGATGATCATGAACAAATTCACCTATACCTAAACAAAGACATCGAGCCCTCGTTGTCTCTTCGATGCTTAAGCTAGCAAAAGGGAAAAATATAAGCATAATGCTATAAATTGAATGTAAAAACATACCTAAATAATGAATTAGAACTTGTATTTATAGATGTAAGTAGCACACTCTTGATAGAATTAGGATACTTGAAGCCTTGTCTGTTTAAGAGATGTAAAAGACTCAAGTACTTCAATATGAGCAGGAGTTGTAAGTTAGTTAGAATACAATCTTATTTGGAGTTGGATAAGTTTGAAGGTGGAAGTAGATTCCTACTAGAATATGTCTTATGAGATAAAGAAAGGGGACAAAGGTAAAAATTAGAGGTGACGTGGAATTTTCAAATGCATCAATTAAGCCCGACGAGGGAACTCAAGGAGGGCACCTTTGGAAATCCCCTAAGATGATTGAAACAACCTCAGGCATTTTTTGCTCGGGTTTGATCAAAAAATGACTGTATCATTATTTTGTGGAGAACACGTGGTTGAAAAGTAGAAAAAAATTTGAATTTCCGTGTAAAATACTTTATTGTGTGAATGTATGATGAATATGAGTATAAGCAATAAATTGAATTAAAGTAAAGGATGTCACACTGTGCTAACATAATAATGTTATACATAATTTTCTATAAGCTTAAATGATTTCAATTTTAATTAGTCAAAATGGATTTGTATTTACTTTGAATTAGTAATATGAAAACTTATAATAATAATAATAACTGTTGTTATAGTATTTTACTATTGTGTATTTAGTTATGGCATTCGGTTCGACCCTAGTTGAATCTTTTGACCCTTGAACTTTTTCAGATTGATTCCTAGGTTGATTTTCAAAACATTGGTATGCACTCACTGATGTCCCATGGATTACACATACCTTTAGAAGAAGAAAAATGAGAGATGAAACATAATCGAACTGATTACATCTTAGAGAAATGGTTTTTCTCTCATCATGCGGTTCAATTCTACTACAAAAATTCGGAGGTACAAGAAAATGGGAGAGAAAGAGAATGATTGATTTGTTTGGTTTACATGTGAGCGAAGCTATTCGTTTCCCCAAACATGAGTTGGCTATAATAAGAATTGTAACTTGGTCAGCAGATCAATGTTTGTTGGTCTATATATGTGTTAATAGAGGTGGCAAAATGATCGAGCAATTCGTCGACCCGACTCGCTGAAGCTTGGCCCATGGACTACTCGGACTCTTTTAGGGACGAGCCGCAGCATGAGTCGAGTCAAGCTCACAAACAGCCTATGAGCTCATAAAAAGTGAATAAAAAAGTACAAAAATCTAAAAAATTAAAAACTTGGCTCGTGAGCTCACAAGCTCATGGGCCAAGCCGAGTTTAAGCTCGGCTCATCACTATGATGGGCTAAACTCGTCGATACAAAGCCGACTCGATCTATTGCCATCCCTACGTGTTGGGATAGGCCTCCACATTGAGGGTCCACATATTGCTAGACTCCCAGTAGAAGAGGAAGGGCTCTACTAAGTCGAACTAGAGTCAGGACTCTTTCGAGTTTTGATCTACTGAAACATGTCAGATATGGAAGTTTTTTTTACACACGTGATAATCATGAAAACAATCAATTATTAGATAATAATAACAAGAATGAAATTATTTTATCTGTAAACGGTAAAAAATGGAGGACAAGGGTTTATAAGAAGAGAAAAGTTGAATGAAAATGAATGATGCTGGAGAGGTAAAGAGAAAGGTAGTAATTTGTTTTTAATATTAAATGGCACCAATAATTATCTACAGTGGCCAACATAATGAAGACTACTCAATAAGCACTCTATATAGAGAATCCCATGCCAGGCCGTCGACTACTATGAGGCCCTCTACCTCCACTCTAAGTCGTCTACCACTGTGAGACTAACACCACACTTGACCGTAAAAATATCTTTGAGTTCGATGAGAACCATTACACGATTAATATGGACATAATCAACCGCTTAATAGGTGGAGGTCTCCCGAAAGTGCTACATGGGACACGTGGCATGATGACAATCCAATAGTTACTTGGCCTCAGGCATTATAAATACTCCTAAGGCAAGACAGGTATGAATCTTGATATTTTGGCTATTAGAATACTCATTCCATTTTTTCTTCTTACGTTCATATATCACTTACTATTTCTCATGCCGTAGGTACAATGGGGAGAAAACCCCAATCTCATTTTGCAGGTTACATTTATTCGTTGAAGTAGCAAAGACACCTTATGCCGTCAGGAGGGCATGAAGGTCTGCTTCATAATCATTTCAGTTTTGTTACTACATAGTTGGCTGTTAGCGGGAAACCTCAAGCGTATATGATTATTGACAAGTAATAATGTGATGAGTTAGACTATCGTCATTTGAGGAATAAGCTTTAAATTGAATTATTAATTTGTAATCAAATTCGAATGTTAATGAACAAAAGAGATGTTATTGTAATTATTCTAATTTATTCTATAGGTTATCTAAATGTATTGATTTATATGAATGTATTGAATTTATAAATCCACCTATCTTTATCATATTTTTTATTCTCAGCCTATGTAATTAGTGATTTTTTGTTTTGTTTTTGATAATCGAATAATTCATTTATTTTTAACTATCTTTCACGAGGTAAATTATATATACTCTAAGTACGATCCAATCATATTCCTAGTCCAAATTCATATACAAAGTAATGCATTCATGTACAGGATTATCGTTGCACATGCAATACATGTTCTCTTGTTCATGTATTAATCTTTCGAAGTTCTAACTTATTATGAACTTCCCGGAACTATAATAAGCAACTAATTACCTAATTAATAACCAATCAATTAAATAATACAACAAAGCATGCAAAAATTAATCAAGAAAATAAAAAATACACTAACCACTAATCTATTTTTTAACAAAAATATCCACACATCCTTATTGATGTTTTGGGATCCACCAAGGAAAGTTGATGGGGATTAATCTTCTACAAAGAATTAGAAATACAAAGAATAATCTTCTACTACAAAGAAGTAGTATCAGAGCCTATAACAATCAAAAATTATATAGTTTATAAAAAGAACCGAGTAT